CAGGTCCCGTTCTAACGATCAAGACCCGTAACTCCTGATTCCAGGTCACGTAATCGCTGTGATAGCCTCTGCTTGTTTTTTTTTTCTCTCTATGAATGAAGGAGTTCTCTCGAACTCCTAGCATAGAGGGGGGAAAAAAATGGGTCAAAGGTCAGGATTTTTTTTTTTTTTTTATATTGGTGTGAGTGTGTTTTAGGTAAACAAAAACAAAATGTGCACTATTGTTTCTGGGCTGTACTGTGGGTACAAACAAATAACATACACATATATGGTATCGCTGCAATCGTAAAGAGCTGGAAAATGTATTTTGGGTTGTTCTTTGGTGGTAGGTTATGGTAGTAACAAGAAACACAAAGCTTAATTTAAACAAAATACATTATTTTTACTATTTTGGGCCAGTTTCCTTTGATAATAAAAAAAATCAGGAGATATCCATTACCATTTACCACCAAATGAAAGTCCAATTTGTCCTGAAAAAAACAAGGTATAATTCACCTGGATGTACAAAGTACTTGTGATGATATGTACGGTTTTACTAACACATGTCACGTTGCAAAATTGTGCTTAGGCATTAAGATTTGTTTTACCCTTAGGTGTGAAGGGGTTAAAGATAGTGTCCCATCTCAGGGCTGTGCATTGAAATATAAATGTATTTTGTTCTGGTTAGCAATAGCAGTGCATCAAACATGAGTTGTAATGCACTGACAACAGGTATTAACCACTTGAACCATAGCTGTTAACCCTATCCACTCCCAATTCTAAGTATAAAAATATATTGGAAGTCAACTCAAAAATTTATAATCTCTTTGACACGCTTACCTTATGCTACAAAAAATGTGCTCCTACGCACATGCATAGATCTAAATGGACTGAAAAGGTTTAGATTTTCCATCACTTTCTGTGTTAGTAAAAATGGTTACAATGCCTAATAGAGAAGGGGTCACGTCTACCGTTTGAGGAATTCCACCTGCAATAAAAATGTAACCATCCTTCCCAACTTCATCTAAAAATGAATAAAGAAGTCTTGGCTATACATACGCTTTAAGATCCATGATTATGGCTGCAGCTGCCTACTAACTAGCACATCTTAGTCAGAATAGCTCAGTAGCAGTCCTTGGCTGCCTAACTTATGGAAGTAAATGGGCTACAAGTTTTTCTTCACTGAACAGCCCCCACCTGAAGAGAAATTAATGTATTTAATGTCTTTCCTAATTTTTTTTTTTTTTTTTATAATACATATTGATCATGTAAACTTTGTAAGGGAATTCTGTATGCCTAGTTTTTTTCAGAAGATGACCAACATTTATCTTAAGCAAACTATTCTAATTTTATTTGAAAGAACACGTTCATTAAAATGAGGTATAGCAGCCCATCAGTGCTGATCTAAGAGAGCTCCTAAATCTGTGTATCAGTGCCGATGGGCTTTGTCATGCCGTGTGGTGTAGGAGGGAGGAGAAGTATGTGAACCTTCATTTTTGCTGAATAGGGATCACAATGATGTGTCTAGAATAATATCTTAATATCTGTCTTCATTAGTCCCCTGTATGGCAGCACTCCGACAAGGAGAGGGTGGGCATCCCGAAGAGTCAATCCAACTCTATTAGTGCATATGTGCTGACAAGTGAACAGAAGGATGACCTCACCAGTGTGCAGCTGCCATACTGTCCGATCAACAAGCAGTGTTGTTGAACTGAATCTCGGTGACCTAGCGGGTATGAGTATGGATCACAAAACTTTCTGTACAGAAAATAAGTCCTTTACATGTTTCAACTGTGTGTTCACCTGCTTATCTGGAGTTTGGTTTTAAAATCTATACGCTAATTATTCCATGCACTGATCTCCTGATCTTGGCCAGCCTTGCCACAAATGCTGTGGACAGGGGGTTCTGGAGCCAGGAAGTAATAGGATACTTTTAGGTAGCTGAGGGACATTTGCTTTCATTCACAAAAGGAAGCCCAGGTAGCTGGGATTTCCACAGTAGGATTCCCTGTGCTTTTCTGATTTGACCTCGGCAGATGTTCGGCACCTAGAAGACTGCTGAATCTAGCTGTGGACTGTCTCTCGGCTTGAGGACATCAGAGAACCTGCAACTGTTGAAACATATAGAAGAGGCCGTGGGAAGCGGTCTAGCAGTGTAGAGGGGGTCTGCAGGAGTGGAAGATCAGGTACATAAAATTGCTTTTTGCAGAACCTTAGACCTAAACACAGATTTAACCCTTGCAGTGCGAGGGCAGCACTACTGCACAGAAGCATTCTTCCTTTCTCTTGGAGTTCAGCTTTTAGAATACTACAATCATAGAGGCCTGTGTCTATGAGAATATAAAACCCACTTGAAGCAGGTCAGCTGGACCTCTCAGTGAATTCTAAGTGATCACATAAGTGTCTCAAATTGATGCCATCACAAGCCCAAAGTCCATAGACACAGGCCCCTACTGAGGAGTTAGTGTAACAAGCAGCACCATATCTTTCATTTATAATGCCAAGACCAGGAACACAACTGCCAATGACTGAACTCCAGGTGAATCACAGAGTGCATAGTTTAAATACACAAGTGAAACTTTTACTTGCTCAATAATGTGTAATGGCTGTTGTTCACAGACTTCAATGGGCAAAGGCAGACTGCTGGTAGTGTCAGTTTGGGATTTTTGAGATCATTCATCATTCATAGATATATAGTTAGTCTGGCTAAAAAAAAAAAAAAAAGACAAAAGTCCATCCAGTTCAACCATAAAAAAAAAAAAGTTATAATCCTACACTCACAGTTGATCCAGAGGAAGACAAAAAACCCAGCAAAGCATGATCCAATTTGCTCCTGCTGGGAAAAAAATTCCTTCGTGATCCCCCGAGAGGCAATCGGATATTCCCTGGATCAACTTTACCTATAAATGTTGAATTCAGGGACAGCTGACCTGCTTCAGCTGCTTTTACATTCCTAAAGACTTGTGTGGAGAGCAAAGACATTCTGAAACTAACAAAAGCCCGTTGAGCCCTAAATCTGGTAAGCCAGTGAGTTAGGCACATCTACCATGCTGCACTGCCATGCAGGTGACACACTTATTTCCTGTTTCTGCCATACAGCTCCCAATGTCAAATCATTGCCTCTACTGCAGGCCATACATGGGTCGAATTCCGAACTAATTTTTTTAGAAAATTGGAATTTTCATGCATTTTGGTGCCACCATTGATTTCAAAATTCAACCAACCAAGCCTTCAATTTCACTACATGTTGCTACAGAAAAGAATTTTTGTGGCCAAGAATTTGCTTTTCTATCCAGGTCACAGCTCATGCTAATTTCTTTTTCGTCTCTATTTCCTGCATGATTCTGCCATCATTGAGTCGAAATTCGTTCATTTTTCAAAAAATTTCCAACATGCCAGATCAAATTTGATGGTCACACGAAAATTGGCATTTTCTGTGACCCACTAATGGTGTGAAATTCAAATGAAAATTCTTAGAAAAGATTTTCAAAAGAAAATTCTTTCGGAATTCGATCCGTGTATAGACAGCTATAGGTGCAGGGAGCTGGCTCCAGAAGTAAATAAAAAGGCGTACTACAAACCAGGAGGTAGCAGACTAACTGTCCCACAGGCACAGGTATGCCAACTGTCCCACAGGTGTGTATAGCACAATATAACCGTTGGCCAAAATTGCAGCTCCTTTGGCCTATTAAAATATACTGTATATATTTAGCTGTTTGCATCTAATTCCACTTTATGTTTTTTGGTGGATTCAACTTTTTATTACTGTCTATGTCCCTGATGGGGAGATATCCCATTGCTTCCTTTCTAGCTGACCACACAGTGAAAACTCCCCAACGGGGCTTCGAATAGAATGAAAAACCTGACGGACCTTACGCATTGTAATCAACATGGAAACCCCTTCACATAGTTCAAGCTCACTTTTTGTCCTTGCGACCATAAAGGAAGTAAGGATAAATCTCCAGAGCTGGGAAACAGAATAAAAACATGATGGAAGGTTAACTTTTCCCCTGCTCGATCCAAAACAAAAGTTATAGATGGAATTCCACATTGAAGGAAAACTTCAGATACAAATTGAGTATCAGAGGTATCATTTTAGGATATAAATGACACTTATCCTTCTGTTACTGATTTTCTGTAGTGCTGCTTGACGGTCCTCCAGTACCTATGCTCATCCAGTACTCCCTCTACAAATGTTGAGATAATTCCACCCTGAATTTTGGAGGAGTGTCACACATACAGGTAAGATTTAGAACCCAATAGAGACCTTGAACATGGATGCACTGGAACTTGCTTAGACCTATCTGAAATATTTAAATGTATGTACTCTACACATTAACCTTGATCCTCAAATTGTAGCTGAGAGCAGAGTTACCCTTTAGGACTGACATACAAACCTAACAATTGCTGTATGGTCCCAGTGTAAAGGAGAAAAAAACCCAACAAAACCCTGGCTGAATAGATTTCAAGTGTGACATATAATCTGCTTTAAAGACTTCGTACACCCAAAACGAATATTTCAAGAGTTTTCATTTATCTTGCTGGAGGGAGGTGACACTTCGGTGTTGATTCACTAAAGGCAAATAGACTGCGCACTTTGCAAGTGCAGTTGTACTCATTTTCTCTTAGTGAATGAGGTGAAGCTCTGCTGACTTCCCTCATTCAATCATGTGCAAGCAAAAATGCTGTTTTTTTTATTCCATTTTCCGTGCACCTGATTGGCTATGCTTTATAAAGTGAAACTTCACCACAGTCACTAAGCTCTGGGGAAACAATTAGTGCAACTGCACTTACAAAGTGAGCAGTCTATTTGCCTTTGGTGAATCAACCCCTTCTTGTTTGTACTATATTCTATGAATCATTAAATAGATATCTCAAAGTGTTATAGGAAAAGAAGGAGCTAAAGGGCAATTCCACCTTCTGGCATTTATCAAAAACAAAATAGAAGTTTTTGATCTACTGATCCTTAACTTTTTGTAAACACTGTAAAAAGTTAAATAAGTGTCTGTTAGTATTGTGAGTCAGAGAACACGCGGTGAGTGAACAGTCCTTGCAATGCTACCCCTCTTTTTACTTCTGTGCTTTCTCCAGGCCCTCTGAATAAGTACTGCAGCTTGGTTCTTGCGCTGGAAAAGTTGTTTTCTGGCTTTCTCTCGTTCTACTAACTGTAGTCTCGCCTCTAAGGGAATCAGTTCAATGTCTAGCTGCTGCCACTGAGCAAGATTGAGACTTGCTCTTAAATGGTCTCTTGGAATTGCCGACATCCTGCTGGCATTATTATGGCTTGTTGGGGAGCAGTTTACACCTGTTCTCTCTATAGCTGCTTGTTTGCTATGTCTGGAGTGTGAACTCGATGTTCTGTGTCTCATCTTTCTTGAAGGTCTTTTCTTCCTCACATGTAGTCTGTCTTCCAGAGGCATTTTGCTGCCCAGCTCTGGCTGAGCTACTTTTCTTTTCTGAATGCCGCCTGCCTGAGATTTCTTTGTGCTTTGAAGAATTGTCTCCATTACTTGTCAACTGGATTACTATTCCATCAGGTTCTTTGTTTCTCCTAGGCAAACGAGGTTCTGCAATACTGCAGGAAGCCATTATTTGGGTAACCATCTCTGTATCAGTTTTCTTATTCTTATGTATTTTAGATCCTTTCAGCGGCTTTTCCACAATCGGCTCCTTGCTGGTGACCTTTTCTGCAGGGTCCTTTTCCTTTACACATTGTCTAGTGTTACTTTCAGCTTTTAAAGACAACTGGGAACCTTCTTTAATCTCCTTGGGAGATATTCTATGATGATCCTTCTGGCTTTGGCACCTTTCTTCCTGGACTGGAGTGCTACAATGTTCCTTTCTTTGCCTGGAGCTCTTTTTACTTTTGCTACTTGGACATTCTTCATGATACTCCTTTACAGACAGTTCTGCTGGAAATGACATTGCATGAGATGTCCTACTGGGTGTGCTTGGATTACTTGGCTCACAGACTTCTCCCTGTCTTGGAGATGCATGGCCAGTCCTGCTTTGGCGATTGTGCTCTTCCATCTTTGTCCTACCTGCACTTTCTAGGCGTTTTTTCCTCTGTAGTACATTTCTGCTGTATTTCACTGTGACCATGCTGAGCTCTCTGCTCCATGAATCTCTCAGAAGTGTTGATCTGTTTGTCCTCATTCTGCCCATCTTCACTAGGTTGATTAACTTTGATTTTCCTTTTGCTTACACCCTCTCGCTTTTTGGCAGCTGCGTCCTTTCTCAGCTGCTCATGCTTCATCAACAAGTTCTTCCTCTCTCTAAAGGCCCTCCGTACTTTGTGTCCCTTGTACACAGCTTGAATTTTGGAGGCTGCGATGTCCTGGATTGCAGCAATGGAGAGGGCACCATGTTCAAGCATAAACTGTATAACTTCCTGATGACCACCAAGCAGCGCATAGTCCAGAGGAGTATACCGCTCTTCAGTGCTTTCCATTTGGTTAGGAAAGGCATTATAGTGTAGTAGAAGTTTTACTGCATCTAGGTACCCGTTGTTGCATGACCAATGCAAAGCGGTGCGGCCATTTTTATCCTGGATATTTGGATCGGCTTTGTTCTCCATTAATACCTCCATGCACCCGATGTAGCCGCCATAGGCTGCACACTGCAATGGAGTCCTGCCTTCGTAATCCTGGGCATTGGGGTTGATTTTATTTTCTATAAGTATTTGACATACATTGGCATTGCCTCCTAATGCTGCCCAGTGAAGGGGGGACCGGCCATCTTTGTCCACAAGATGAACCTTTGCCCCTCCTTTAATCAATGTATAGATGACTTCTCGGTGCCCCATCTCACAAGCCCTGAAGAGTGGGGTGTGCTTCATTACATCTGCAGCATCCACTTGGGCACCATTTTGAAGCAATATTCGTATGGTGCTAATGTGGCCAGAAAGGGAGGCAGCATGGAGTGCTGTACCACCATATTTATCCGTTCTGTTGACCTCTAACTCAGAGTCTAGCTCAAGCATGACTTTTATGGTTTCATCGCTGCCTTTCCCTGCTGCCCACATAAATGCCGTCCTCCCCTCTAAGTCAGCTTCATCTTTTACAGAGGGGTGGGCCAGCAGAACCCGAACGGTGTCTGGGCAGTTTCCCTGAGCAGCATAGTGGAGGGGGGTGGCTCCTTGACTGTCTGAAGGGATGTTGGGGGAGCGGTTTTCTTTCCAGAAGAAGATTTGCGATGGCCGTGTGACCCAGTAACGCTGCCCAGTGCAGAGGGGTACGGAACAGATTGTCGTACGGTGTCACGTTACACCCCCGATAGGAAGTCAGAAGCCATACCACTTCTTGGTTCCCATCGCCTACAGCCAGGTGCAGAGGTGTGCGCCCTTCGTAATCCTGCCAGTTCAATAAGGACTCTGTCGGAGCAGCTTCCAGCAAACAGCGTACCGTGAGCGCAGCTTCCGGGTCTTTATGCCCAGCTGCCCAGTGCAGGGGGATCTTGCCTTCCAAGTCAGGGATGCCGATGTTGGAGCCATGCCTCACCAGCAGCCTGACGTGCCGGGGACGGTTGTAATAGGCGCTCCAGTGCAGCGCGGTTTGCTTCCTCTGGTCCTGAGCGTCCACCTGCCCCGGCGGGGTGTGCTTCAGGAGCAGGGCCAGGCAATGGGTGTCCTTGTGGCGGGTGGACAGGTGCAGCGCGGTGATGTCACGAAGATCACGGTGGGTGCAATCCGCTCTACGAGACAGGAGAAGCTTCAAGAGGCGGTGATTGCCCGTCTGGGCGGCCAGGTGGAGAGCCGTGCGCCCACTTCTATCGGAGCGATTCACCTGGGCCCCGCAGCGCAGCAAAGCCTCTGCACATGCTCTGCGATCACCCAGCACACTGTACATCAGAGGGCTCCTCCCCAGCTGGTCCTCCTGGTCTAGCAGGTCTGAGTTGGAGCCAATCAGGCGCAGCAGAGTGGCCTTGTCCCCTGTCACAGCAGCCGCATGGATAGGAGAGGCCAAGGAGGAGCCCTGGGGCGGGCCGTTCATCTTCCTACAAGCTGAATTCCCCAGCACCGCGGTCAGCTTCTACTACACAGCGGTCTCTATGGCGCCGGGAGACCGGCTCCTTGCCATCTCTATGGTAACGGACATTCAGACCGATAGCATTTCAGCTCTTCTCTATGGTATCGGCCGTTCTATTCCGCACCGCTAAGCCCTTCTCTATGGTATCAGACGTTCTATCCTGTGCGTTCATCCCTTCTCTATGGTATCGAACGCTCTATTCTTCGCCTCAATTCTTCTCTATGGTTTTGGACGCTCTATCCCCGCGGCTTAATAAATCTTTATGATGAAGGGCGCTCTATGCCGCATGGCTCCTCTCTGTGATATCTCTGGATGGGAGGGGTCGAGCGCACACAAGAATCACGTGGTCAGCGAGTCAGGATAGCTGGAATTTGACCCCGGAAGTGTCATCCACGAGCTACTGTCATGGCGGCCGGTTCGCTGCAACCTTCCATGGCTCCTTATTTCCCGGGCTACCGGCCCTTCGACCCGGAGTCTCTGGGGCTGGGGGCCGGCTTCCGGCTCACCTCCTTCTCGGACATGAAGGGCTGAGGCTGTAAAGTCCCGCAGGAGACACTGCTCAGACTCCTGACGGGACTGGAGGAGGGGGAGACCGGGGAACCGGAGGATGTCGGGGTCCCCAGGCTAGGTGAGACCGCCGGCTCTCTTTTCATGGCTGTCCTCTGCTTCCCTTCTTCCCTGCCTGGGCCCCAGGGGCCATAAGAGCGTGCAGGCTATAAAGAGACTCTGTCCTTACCAACCAACACTACTTCTCTCTCCCCCCCCTTCTTCCTTCTCTCTCCCCCCCCCTTCTTCCTTCTCTCTCCCCCCCCCTTCTTCCTTCTCTCTCCCCCCCCCCCTTCTTCCTTCTCTCTCCCCCCCCCTTCTTCCTTCTCTCTCTCCCCCCCCCTTCTTCCTTCTCTCTCTCTCCCCCCCTTCTTCCTTCTCTCTCTCTCCCCCCCCTTCTTCCTCTCTCTCTCTCCCCCCCCCTTTCTTCCTTCTCTCTCTCCCCCCCCCTTCTTCCTTCTCTCTCTCCCCCCCCCTTCTTCCTTCTCTCTCTCCCCCCCCCTTCTTCCCTCTCTCTCTCCCCCCCCCCTTCTTCCTTCTCTCTCTCCCCCCCCCCTTCTTCCTTCTCTCTCTCCCCCCCCCTTCTTCCTTCTCTCTCTCCCCCCCCCTTCTTCCTTCTCTCTCCCCCCCCCTTCTTCCTCTCTCTCTCCCCCCCCCCTTCTTCCTTCTCTCTCTCTCTCCCCCCCCCTTCTTCCTTCTCTCTCCCCCCCTTCTTCCTTCTCTCTCTCCCCCCCTTCTTCCTTCCTCTCCCCCCCCTTCTTCCTTCTCTCTCCCCCCCCCCTTCTTCCTTCTCTCTCTCCCCCCCCTTCTTCCTTCTCTCTCTCCCCCCCCTTCTTCCTTCTCTCTCTCCCCCCCCTTCTTCCTTCTCTCTCTCCCCCCCCCTTCTTCCTTCTCTCTCTCCCCCCCCTTCTTCCTTCTCTCTCCCCCCCCTTCTTCCTTCTCTCTCTCCCCCCCCTTCTTCCTTCTCTCTCTCCCCCCCCTTCTTCCTTCTCTCTCCCCCCCCTTCTTCCTTCTCTCTCCCCCCCCCCTTCTTCCTTCTCTCTCCCCCCCCCCTTCTTCCTTCTCTCTCTCTCCCCCCCCCCCTTCTTCCTTCTCTCTCTCTCCCCCCCCCCTTCTTCCTTCTCTCTCTCTCCCCCCCCCCTTCTTCCTTCCCTCTCTCTTCCCCCCCCTTCTTCCTCTCTCTCTCTTCCCCCCCCCTTCTTCCTTCCCTCTCTCTCTCTTCCCCCCCCCTTCTTCCTTCCCTCTCTCTCTCCCCCCCCCTTCTTTTCTCTCTCTCTCTCCCCCCCCCTTCTTCCTTCTCTCTCTCTCCCCCCCCTTCTTCCTTCTCTCTCTCTCTCTCCCCCCCCCCCTTCTTCCTTCTCTCTCTCCCCCCCCCCTTCTTCATTCTCTCTCTCTCTCCCCCCCCCCTTCTTCCTTCTCTCTCTCTCCCCCCCCCCCTTCTTCCTTCTCTCTCTCTCTCCCCCCCCCCCTTCTTCCTTCTCTCTCTCTCCCCCCCCCCCTTCTTCCTTCTCTCTCTCTCCCCCCCCCCTTCTTCCTCTCTCTCTCTCCCCCCCCCTTCTTCCTTCTCTCTCTCTCCCCCCCCCTTCTTCCTTCTCTCTCTCCCCCCCCCCTTCTTCCTTCTCTCTCTCTCCCCCCCCCTTCTTTCTCTCTCTCTCTCTCCCCCCCCCTTCTTCTCTCTCTCTCCCCCCCCCCTTCTTCCTTCTCTCTCTCCCCCCCCCCCTTCTTCCTTCTCTCTCTCACCCCCCCCCTTCTTCCTTCTCTCTCTCTCACCCCCCCCCCTTCTTCCTTCTCTCTCT